GTGGTGGATATGGAAGACGTTGTGAAACAAAACCCTTTTTACTCTATTTCCTTCACACGTCTGAAGTGACTGGAAGATAACATTTATATGTAAACTAATGATTTTCAATAATAATGCTTCTAAATAAAAGAAAAACTTTGTTTTCTTCATGTGTATCAGTTTCACAAGGAATATTTCAAGACATATATTTAAGTCAGTAAGAAAATATTTTAATAAACAAATCAGCTTGCAATGCATACAGTATTATAGACTAAAACCAAAATCACTACCCACCATTGCAACAGTAAGCTGCAATTTATGATGACATGAAGTTTAGCACCTGAATGAAAAAAACCTAATAATTAGTAACAATAAAATGATTTAGCTTTGATTAATAAAGTCCTTTGATTTTCTTACTATTCCAAGAAAAACAGACACAAGTATTTCCAGATTTTCTTTCATGCCAAATGTTTTTCATTTTACACTTGGCTGAAGCAAGTTAGGGTAAATGTTGGACACACATTTTTAAAATGATTATGTATTGTGATCTACCAACACTGTCTTTCTATTTGAGTTAAACGTTAGCACCATCTACTGGTCCAGAAGGTCCTTTCAAACTTTAGAAAAAGCTGTGGAAAGTGATCCAGCCAAAATGATGCAAAACGATACTGACAGTAAGATGTAGTTTTTCAATCCCTGTACAGGCAAAAGAAGAGAAAAAGGAAAATATCATCTTGTCATTACTGATACCACCTGAAAAAAAAAGTAGAACAAAGTACAAAGTTTCATTTAGGCAGAGATTATATGAAAAGAATGAAAGGCTTAGAGAGTTACAAAGGTTTGGATAGTGAAAAATATGATCTACTGTGGTGCAACACTAATCTGCAGTGTGAGACACAGAAGTTCTAGTTCTAGACTGAGTGATGCCTAATGGATAGTCACCAAAAATATTGGGAAAGATCATCTTCAATATCAAGTTAGGGACCTATGGATCCTGGATAGATTGACAAAAAGAATCTGGTATCACTCTGCTAGCATTCAGTGCTTCAAATTCCACTAGAAAATTACTTCTGCCCTGCATGTTAAAATCCAGTAAGTTAGCTTGTTGTAGACCACCACTGCTGTATCAATTTAGGATCATTACATTACACTGTAATTACAAAGGTCAATTAACCTGTTGCATTTTTACATCCTTTGTTGAACCTGACCCTAAAAATGTAATCTACTTGCTGGTATGTTATTGGGACAACTGCTCATTCCCCTGCCCCACAGGCAGTCCCTGGCATCCAGCCTCCTGGCTCTGCTACAGTCTTCATTTACATCCACTGCTCGTCATACAGTTATGGAACTAAAATCTTCATTCCTGTAAAAATTGTTCACAGTTCTTCAGGTTTCTTTGAAAACTTAATATTGCATGATATCACTTTCAGTTTCATAATGCAATACTTGCAAGGAGGAGAAATCTGAGATACAGCTGTATACCACATCATGCTGTTTCTAGAGCTAGAGGCAAGCAAGACATATTAGGCAAGAGACCTAATTACATTACCTTGATTTCCTTAAATACAAGGACTCCCCACATTGCAGCAACAAGGCCAGGACCCTAAAGAATAAGGTTAATTTATACATTACAGCATTTCATTAAAATTTACTCCTTCTCATTACTACTCTCAGGATGGTTGAATTTTGTCTAGATAACATGTTTAGGTCTTTCCATTCTGTATAAATAAAGCACTCATGACAAAAGCATAAACATCACTGAAATATCTACTAAGTAAGATATAATAAAAACTTCAGGAAGGGTTAAAGAGTCAAGAAACTGCTGGTTTTTTTGCAGTAGGCATAATTTCTTTCTAAATTACACTGTGGAGTCTGCTCCAGATGTTACATGCTCTTTCAGTAGACTCCAAATAACATACCTCACTTTAGTCCAAATTAGAGTTCTCAATGTTTCCTAACATTTCCTTTATTAGCACGACTAACTATTGGACGAAGTTTGATTTTATCGCTCAATATGATTATCAAAAGATTGAAACATAGATGTATTTCCTGTATAGCTGGCATCTGGACAAAGCACAAAGCCAGCCAGGGACACAGCTCAGGGAAACTCCTGATTTTCCATGATGTCGTTGTAGAGGAAGGGAGCAATGATCTGAATTTTCATCTCTGATGAGAAAATATCTGAATATGAAGCAAAAACTGGTTCTGTTAATGCTTCCCATTAGAGCTGTTCTGAGAAACACTTGACAGATGTTCGGCCAGTGACCTTCCTCTCTTCATCCTCAATGCAGCTGATGGGACACAGATACAGACAGCAAACAGTGTCTCATGCTAAATGTATGTGTGGGTGCTGTTTCCTAGTGACATTGCCAACTATTATTTGAGGAATAATAGCGCTGTGAGAGGAATGCACTTTAAAAAATGGAATGAAGTGTTAAAGGGATGTGATGCATACCTCTCCAAAAATTTTCTCCAGCATGAAATAAAGCAGCAGTTCTGAAGCTGTGGTCCAGATACGCAGTTTCTCATCGGTGTTGTTCCTACATTTTTCATTCTGTGATTTTACATCCTTGCCCTTTAGGCATACTGATAACTAAATTACTAAAGCTGCTTTCCATTAATCCTTCAATTTCTAATTAGAATGATCTCAAGTTGGGTTTTTTTTTTTCATTGCATACTGCAGAGTATATTTTGACTTACTGCATCTTGAGGCAGAGCTTAATCTATTAAAGTTGTTTCATTAGTTTGCTTCCAAAATACAGCTGTTAAGCAAAACTTTGGTCTTAATAAATATTAACTCTCATTTGCCACCTTTGCGTCTCCAACTAGTGGAGTGTCAAGAGAGTAAATGCAAAAAGAGTTTACTTTTACCTAGTAATTGGAATTTATGCTTTAAAGGTACATAATAAACTGGAATAAAACAGACACAGAACAGGCCAACCTATTTTCCACACATTTGCATAAGAACATTATTTTCAGTAGTACATAATCTCTTCTGTTTGTTCAAGAACTGTAAAAAGAAAAAATGCTTGACTTAACCAAGAAAAATGACTACTAGGGGATAAACTCACAAATTCAAAAACATCCAGACAAAAATGTACTTCCTGGGATGAAAGCATAAAATAATTCTTCTTTTGAATCTTTTAATTCAATTAAATAGTTAATATTGATATAATTCTGTTTACAAAGCTTTGGCTTTTGGATAACCTAAAGACTCCCATTCTCAAGTCTTCTGGTTTTCCTTATGCTTGACACCGACCAAGATGGTGCTTGTCACAATCATTCATACTCCTAAAAATCCAAAGACTAGTGCAGACAAGCAGAGGAGGCACTGTATCCTTTTGACTAAAAATGCTCTAGACCCTTCATAATTTCAACTCAGTTCCAAAAACAGAAGGGTAAAAACCCCAATCACTTTTAATTCTAGTTAGAGGTTTTATTTTTTATATACATACTGCAGTAATTATTGGAAAGCTGACGACAGCACTGAGATAGTGATTGGCCAGGAACCAGCAGCAATTGGCTATTGCCCAAAGCACACCAGAAACAAACCCTAGAAAAAATAAATCCTAATCAAAAACATGCATAGCAAGGTACAGACAGCAGTTTTATACTTATAGCATAATAAAGCAATTGTATATATGTATTTTAGTATGTTAACTACTTTAACAAGCTGGCTCTGGCAAACCAAAGCAATGCTCAAAGGATAAAAATCAGCTACTCCAACAGAAGTAGCAAATTAATTAAAGTTCATTATTTTCTGGGCAATGTGCTCTCCACTCTGACAATCAGTTTTTGAAAATCTGCAATGTCACTTTGTTCTAGTCTCAGATTAGAACAAAAGTTATCACCATCTCCTTAATTAATTAACCTAATAGAAGTGTTCTTTCAAAAGAGACAAGAAGTCAAATGAAGATGCTGGAAAGGTGAACCACAATTCCAAATTGAACCAATCACTGCAAAATGGTCCAAAGAAGTAGCTGAAATGAATTGCTAATTTAAAAAACAGTCATACCTGGTAATATGGCCTGGGGATAAACGTAAGGCTTATTTTTCCTGACTGCACAGTAGATCAAAAAGTAGATGGTACTTGTAAGAAATATTCCACTGAAGTGTGCAAAAACATAATCTAAATCTGAAAGAGAAAACACAAGATGTTTGTAAAAAAAACAGTTATGAATTTTAACAAAATTATTTTCACTGATAACATTCATGCTGACAAAAATGCATAAAGGTGCAACTCTTAAAAATTCAAATCTCATTGTGTTGAACACAGCTGCCAATCTAACTGAGGATGCATACAATCAATGACACCTATTAAACATGAACTAAATGCTGTGCTTATTACAGGCTTATAAGCATTTCTATGAGCCATTATTTTCAGAACTCTATTACATATTCCTGAATTAATTTAATAAAACCTTGAGAAAATCTTCATGTGAGGCTACAAAACTGGGGCGGGGATTTTACATAATTGTAGATGGTCAAGAGGTTGTAATTATGTTCCTGTATTCCTGTATCCTTGTTTTGTTCTGTACATTAAAGGGCAAGACAACTGCACAGACTATGTAAGTTAAATATAGCTCAGTTTTGTCCTTTTTCAATCTTGAAGGATGTATCAAAATTTTGATCACTATAATTATGAACAATAACAAATCCATTATGGCTTTTGTACGTGCTAACAGAGTATTTCCAACATGATAAAGCAGAAGCATGTATCAAGGTGATCCTTGTCTCCTTGGAGTTGTAATTTCTCAACAGGAAAGGTAGCTATGGTAATGATAACATCTGTTCTGCCTGCCTGGGGAATACATACATTGCAGTATTCAAGAGAAATTGTATATGACAATGGCAACATTATGTGCTCTCAGCAGTACTTTGCTCTTAAGGTGCTGCAGGCATTACCCGATAGAGTATAACCCAAGGCTTAAGGAAAATGTTTTTGGGGGAATGTTGTTTGAAAATGGCAATTAGGCTTATGTTAAACCATTTCAATTAAAAAAACCCATGGTTTTAATTACTTATGTTGTTACATATCTGTTCTCCTCATCACTTATGATCAATCATAGCTTCCTTTATTGCTGTTGGCAATTGGCAAGCTCGTGCCCTTGTTTAACTCACTCTCCACTCATACAAACTCTGTTATTTGAGAATGCTAGCACTTAATGCCTTCAGAAACATACCTGAGTTAAGTATGGTAGTCTTTGGGTTATTTTTCAGTGTTTTTCATGGTGTAACTCACCTCTAAGAAAGAGGGAGTGCTAGGGCAATGATTATGGCAACATCTAAAGTAGTGCAGAACTGATAAATCGTCATGGTGCATTTTCAGGCATATCAAGAATTTGACCCTATGCCTTCAAAAAAGCATGAGAACACAATGATGAAATGAAGTAGGAGTGATCTATTTGCCTTTACCAAACTGACTTGCTCCTGTGTATACAGTTTCATTTCTTCTTCCATGGTCCTTGATGTAAAGTACTGGTACAAAACTGGAACCATAGAGTATTCCAGCTACTACAGCCAGGCTACAGCCTCTTTAAAAAGAACAAAAATTGAAGAAAATAGCCTTGCATTAATTAAGGAAATAGACCACACATGTAAGCCCAGCACTGCAGGTAAAAACTGTGCATCATATAAAAATTGCTAGCTATAAAAATAATACGTTTTAGCACATTTTTATTTTCTAGTAGAGAAATGGTTCACATAGTTTCCCTCTAGTTTGTAGCCAAGCAACACAGACAATTCCTGCTTGCAAAAGCCAGCAATCTAGATTAATGACATGGGAAATTAAGTAACTGAGATTTCTTAAAAGCAGAGCTAGGGGACAACAAACAAAATTTCAATTAAAAATGCTCCCACCCCACCTTTGGCTGCAATCTATATATTCTTTATAACTTCCCAGGATCATTGCCTCTTCAGTCCCCCTCTCCATCTCCAGATTGCTGTGATCTTGGCAGTCTAGACTCCCCACACTGGCTTCTTGTTAGCTTGCTTCCATTTTGGAGCACTTTTAGTGTCTCCTTACCATGCTGCCATGCCTTCTCCAGCTGTATTCACTTGGAAACCACACCTGGAAACATGTCATTAGCACAGTCTTCTTAACCCAGCTCTGTAATTACTGAGTTGATATTGTTACTTACTTTGCCCAATTATATTTTTCACAGTAGTACCTAATACTTAATAGGTAAGGTTAGTCAACAGTGCCGATGGAATCATCTAAATAGTTGTGCAACTATACTATACTATACTATACTATACTATACTATACTATACTATTGTACACTATACTAGTATGTAAAAACCTGTTATTTATTAGTGTGTGGCTTTGCTAGGAAACCACAGGACACAAATTCTTCTCTTACACTGTGTTTAACTACTTTCTCTGGCTACTTTCTATGCAACAGCAAAGGAACTGTTAGCGACTTACATGAGTCTCCTTTTTGCTGGAGAAAGTTTGTTCTCCCATGAGTCCTCAGTGGTCTCTTCAGAAACATTAATAGACTGCAAAAAAACATGGATTTTCATGCAAATTTAGTTAAGTTTGATTCCTTAAAATGTGCAATTTCTTAAAGCATCTTCTGTGATTCAGTCTGGTAGACTGGAACCTCTAGTTCACTAGAACACTCTCAGGGCTCTCTGTTCAGGTAGCCACTGAGCACTGACCTCTAAGGTCAATGTAAGGTACATTGTACATTGTAAGGTACAATGGTAGGAGGAACCAATGGTTCTCCAGCTCTCCTTGCATACTTTGGGCTCCCTAAAGAGCAACAGCCAATCTGATACCCCCCACTGGCCTTCAGCCAATACCACAGCTGATGATGAGTTGACTCTTGAGAGTCTCCTGGCTCTGCAATGTGGCAAAACCTGGCCTTTTACTTAAGCACCCTCAGAGCTTTACAGCTAACCTTTAATTGAAATAGCTTCCTCCCATATAAGAAATACATACTCTCCATCATCATGAAGAAGGACTTTCTAAGCTGTCTAAAGATGACAAAAAAGAAAGAACAATTGGAAATACCTCTTCTGTTGCCAAGATCCACAGATTAAGATACAATCAGTACATATTTATGTTGTTTTTTGCAGCCTACTATAAATCCTAGCAAATCTGACTAACAAATACATTTTTTGTTTTAAAATGGATATGTATTTTCACTACTTTAAATAACAACTGTAGAATACTTACACTTTCTCTCAGTAAAGGTGTGCTTTCTAATGAAGCTGAAGAACTCTGGACTTCAGTTTTTATAAAAAGAAATATGACAGCACTCAGAAGAGAAAAATACACCAATAAATACCATGTCAGCTCAAAATGATGTAACATTTAGTGTCCAGAGACAAAAGTTTTATTTGGAGGCATATTCCTTTCTTTTCATTATTACCCTAGACTCATTGCAGTATAATTTTTAAGTATTAAACTTAAAAAATGCAATTGCTTTATAGCCATAACTTACTATGATTATATATATATAAAACATATAAATTTAATAATTTTAAGTTGTTAATTTAACTTAGCTAACAACCTAAGTGAAAGTAAGTAAATAAATCGGTTTTTGTATCACTTTATAGGTCTTTCTTATGTAACGTTATTGAAACATCTTTAAACAGTGTGTAGTTACAGCCACATTAACAGCAGATGCTTTAGCTAACAGTGCCCTTTTGTACTGAACCACACATAAATGGAACACATGCTTGAAAATTCTATATGGAACAGCTTAAACCTGCAAATAATTGCCTCTGTACTCACGGAAAAAAGTTAATTTTTAGTCTTCCATCATATGTGAGGGATGGACTACTGCTGCTACAGGGCCTTGTGAGCATGCAGGAGGAAAAGGGACATTGCTCAGTGGTGCTGAGCAATATCAGAGCATTAAGTGAATAAAATGGAGAAGAAAGGGTAATATTACTACTCTTAACCCTGCTTCCAGGAGATCAGATAAATACACAACAGAACTGGAAGGATCAGTTTTGTAGTTTCATGAAAAACATTGTAATGACCTAGGAATTTCTTCTCCTAGCTGTAAACAGAACATTTCCATTTGAAAAAGGATTCATCTCTTACTGATGGATAAACATAGGTATAAAAGGATGTCAGTTTCCTCCAGAGGAAGCATACAGATTCCACACAAGAGGATAAAATGAAAAGCTTACTTATGAGCTCCACGGAGCAACATACACAGGCTTTGTGCAGTTTGCCAGGAAAACATTTGCTCAAAAAAACAATCTCTCTTCCTGTTGATCACTCCTCCATGGTATCTCAGAAACAGGAAGCAGGTGGTAAAGCAGCATGAATTCATCAGGCAGGAATAGCAGTACTGCTACTATTTTCTCAGTGCCTCCCAAAATCATATGCCACATGTAACAGGAATGGGGGGTACAAAGCTAGAGAGTCTTGGGGAAGAAGAAAAGTGGAAGCAAAAATCATGAATCTAAGGCAGAAGCTCTCTCCTACCAATCAGAAATGACTTCATTATCTTCATGTTCCTAATACCCTCCTTTTCTAAAAGGCATTATGTTCATCTTCTGTCAGGATTGTTACAGTAAGTTTTTAGGATTTAGGGCCATCTTCCCAGCCACCCAGATGAAAAGCAAGAACACTGCTACATAACAAAGATCTTTCCTCTGTGTTTGGACCAAAATGTATGCTCATTTTGGTCTCATACAAATAAGAAACAAGCAAAAAGAAAGAATAAAGTCCTTCCAAAGATTGTGAAGGAAGACTCTGTAGGGGAATTTGAAGTGTGACTTAAGACTTATATGACACGGAGCTATTGCAGGCAAGAAAACATGCAAGGCCTCTGGCCTTTCATGGACCCCAAAAAGAATCAGGGAAGGGGTTCTGTGGTATATGTAGTTATGAGATTAAGATTTGTACCCCTGACTGAGTGAAGTGAGATCAGAAATCTGAGGTTTTCTCAACAAGATTCTTCTGGTCAGTCTTTCCTCTGATAAGATTTGAGGAAAGGGGACCATTAGAATAACCTATCTAGGGAGGCAATCTGTGTGTCTCTGCTTTGCCTTTAACATGCCTACCAGCAAAAAAATATACTTCTGTGTTTATGGATAACCATTTCACCCCTGTACTTGATATGTCTGTATCTACATGAACACTGACCAGCTAGGAAGGAATAGCTCATGAATTTGGAAGTAAACTGATTTGCCAAAAAATCTTCAGTACATTCATTCTCTTGCTAAATCATCCTGGTGGTTGGTTATTAAATACCTATTTGATGTAACAGAAGTTCATTACAAGTATCAATTTTTACCTTATAAGTGACAGTCCAGCTCCAATATAATTTAAGATTGGTCTTGACACCTCTTCTGGGTCAATTCCAAACCAACCAAACCTGGAACATTTGACCAGTTTCACTTAAATGCATTGACTTTATACAAGTAGCTAAATTATAACCTAACCTTTGAAATCTTGACTCATGTAAATAATTCTGCTTAAGTATATATTTTCAGTATTAGATCAGTGATTTAGCTGGCTTGCAAAAAGCTATGTCTCCTTTACAAGAACAACCTTGAATTTAATGTGTATTTTTAAAATACGTATATTTAAAAACTGAAGTTAAATTATCAGGCCAAATTGCAGAAGAAAAAAATACAAATACCTACTAGTTTTATATAAAGAAATACATTATTTATTGACTTAATAACATCACTGGGCATTCTTTGTTCTATTAAAACAGAGGAAATACAAAAAGCTGCAATAGTTAACTTCAGTACTTTCCACTAAGAAGGAAGAAGTTTTAATACATAGGATAAATCCTCTTTAGTGATACTTGGCAGTGTTATGTTAATGGCTGGAGCTGATGATCCTAAAAGTCTTTTCCAACCTGAATGACTCTATGATTCTACAGATGAGTTTACATTGCAGTTATTAATGTAGAATTGGCAACATTAATTATTAAATGACTTAAGATTTAAAGCCTACTCACCTTGAACTTGCCCAACCTGTCAGCAAATTAAAAGAAGCCCATATCAAAAGGCCAAGAGCTAAGCCAATAGTTTTAACAATAGGGACAACTGTAACATTGCCTGAAATACAAAAGCCAAAACCAAAATCAGTTAGAAAATAGAATGTGACTTTGTATATGTTTCCTTTAGGTTCTGTGCCTGGTTGTAAGGCAAAGAAATTTAGGAAGCTACAAGGTGGTAAGAAACAGTGTTTTTAAAAAATAAATACACTGAACTTAGACTTTTCCTCCCTATAGTTACGAACATTATTTTTGGTGTGAATTTGCCTCCTATAAAATAAGCATAATAAAGGAGTATTTGCTATAAGGATACAGTTCCATTAACAGTGAAGCTTTAAATAACTGAATAAGTACTTAAAAACTACTATCTTACATATGGAAAAGTTTCAAGAATTGGAATCTCTTTATCCTTACCTGTAGCCCACACAAAACCTCCAACCATAGCCAGAGGCCAAAACCGGGGGCAATTCTGGATCAAATTGACTACCAAAGAAACTATCCATATGGAGGCACAGAGAATCCACTGGAAGAACATGCCTGTGGAAAAATCAAATGCACACAATAGGGAGTTTGCAGAATACTGCATGTGTGAGTCTCTTAATAGAATATGTTTATCTTAGATACAGTAGTAGAGAAAAAAAATCACAAAGGTGGCCACTGCCTTTTTGGATGTCAAGGAACCTTGTTACAATTTATTCGAGGGATCTATTTTTTGGGTGGGTTATAATTTGGTCAGCTTCTTCCTAATCATGCATTCTTCTACAGAGCTGCAAAAGACACTTTGCTGGCCAAGGTTTATACAAGCCCTTACTTTTAAACACATGAAACTTTGATGGACTTCTGACAAAGATGATATTCAGTTGCTGCAAATTCCTCCCACCACTCCAGCAGTTGCTAACACTGACAGCAACGGGATAAAACATTTTCCAAGCTCATGATTCTCCAGTAATCCCAGACACTGAGGATGGTCAGTGACAGATCTCTTCTACCTCTGTAGATTCTTGAAGGGTCAATAGTTAACTTTATGCCAGCTGTGCTAAGACTATCTCTTGAAAGCCTAAGCTTGTCTTGTTTGGGTCATACTTGGCACAAAGAGCAGAGGCTACATCCAGCCTGCAAGGTAGGTACTATATTGCAATAACATAATGGCAGATATATTCATCTACAGATCTGGTAATTGGTTATGCTTCACATAAACATGAAAATCTAACATAAACCTAGTAAAGTGACAATATTCCAAGTAGGAAATAGGAATGATTAATTCCTCTTACCAAGTCACCAAACAAAATTACTACAATTTCAGCTTTTGTTTTTATGTTAGGTGCACAGTTGAAAAGCAATGCTGCAAAGCCCAACAACTTTTACCTTATTTATAAATAACACCATATGTATCTGAGAATCCCCACCAGGGCAGGACAAAAAACATTTCACTCTGCATTGTGAAATTCTTATGAAATGTACATCATCCCTGTCAAAGTGCACAACTTCTAAAAGGGCTCTTCTAAAGATATGCCATATCCTGAAGCAGTATTATTGGTTTATACCCTAACAACAGCAGACAAAATTAAACACAGTCTCTGGATTAAGCTCTGATGATGGCCTTGAAACTCTCATAATTTGCTGGTAAAATATTATTCCTTTTAGCAAAAATAACAACCCAAAGAAAATAATATAATTAAGTTTACCGTCACCAGTATCAAATTTCTTGACAGGCACAAAGTTTGTCCCAAATAGAAGGACAGCTACTGTGGAAGAGGTAAAACCAATAGCTAGATCTGTTCCATTGCTGATGTTAGCAGCACTGTAAGCTTTCCCGATATTCATCTTTGTTCTGAAGGTGCTTCTTTTTGTGGAGTTGTTTTGCTGTAGGTCCTGACAGAATCTGGAATAAAAGAGTGAAATTAAGTATGTGGACAACTAATTGATACCAACCTAATTTAGAAATCTGTAACTTAAAGGACCCTACTTATCAATCTCTCAAAGCTGAAATGAACTGCAAAGAGGTTCATGTAGAAAAGGTTTGTGTAGAACCCCATGAAACATGCCATAAAACATAAATAAAGTGACTAGAATAGATAAACAAAAATACCCCAGTATTGTATGTTTTATCTGAAGACACAAAAAGTGAACGTAGAGGTTCATTCAAAGGTTATGAGAACCATTCCAGTGTAGTTTTCCCTTCCCCATTGTAGGTGGACTAGCTACTGTCTGGAGAGAAAAAAATGTGAAATAGGATGGTGGAAATTTTGCCCAGTCTTGTAAAAGATGTTGTGACTGCACTCTCTGCACAAGAACTGAGCTGCTGAATATTCTTTCATCTTATTTTACCTAGTCTTGCCTTCTCCACAGTCCTTAGGACACTGAGAACTCTATCTGCTGAAGTTATATTCTTATCCACAACCTCAGCAGGGACATCAGTGATTGCTGAAATTATTTACATTAGCAAATGAAAAGTTTAATTACACAACTAATACAGGAATTTAATTTCTAGAATTCTTCCCCTTGAAAGCTGTCAATATAATTTTTAACTTCAGTATTTAAGAGAAACAGTGATGACATTTAAAAGATGTTATTACAATGGCACAGCTATTTCCATTAATACTATCTTTTTTTCCCTCACTCATCTTTCTTTCCTACTTACAGGATAAGCTTTTCCAAGCACTTTTCACTGTATTTAAGACTACACACTACAAAGTGTGTCTCACCCAGGACCTGTAGACACTGAGCAGTGCAAATAATAGCACTACAACTTCTTCAAAGACTTGACTTCACAGGATACACCGTGACACGCTGTGAACAGATTAATATACATAAAGGCTGACATCAGCTTTCTTCATTCCATCAAACTTGACTCACTGAGTGAATACATTTAACTCATCTAGTAAACAAGTAAGGCACAAGAGTTGGGTTTTTCCCAGAAGACCTTCATGCTGTTAAGGATGTAGAAATAAAGCTGATTACACTGCAGCTCTGTGAATGCAGGAATCGATTTAGTCTTCACATTTCAAAGTCTGTATCTTACTTGCATAGTGACTTACTTATTTAAAGTGGTTTATCAGTCTGTTTAGTTTTGCACAGAGAAATGTTACTTTAAAAATATTTCAGTTTTATATCTACTAAGAGAACTATGCTGCATGGCAATATACTTTTCTGCTTATTTCCTATCTTCCAAAAATCTCTATATGGTGTACAGTGAAGACCTTTGCACAATTGGAGGACCAGAATCATCACCACAAAGGTGGAGAGAAAACACATCTTCCACGTAACTAAGAGTCATGCTTCATTCACCCTGCTTAGAACTCTCCAACTTTCTAAAACTTGGGACACTTTGTTCCAAATTTTGCTAAATTTCACACCCAGCTTTCAACGCCATTTCAAATCCTACGAGAGAAAGCTTAATCCAACAAGGCCTGAAGCAACCTGCTCTAACTTTGATGGCAGCACTGCTTTAAGCAGGGAGTTGAGCCAGTGATCTACAGAGGTCCCTTCCAAGCTAAGTAATTCTATTGTATCATCAAATGTCAAGAGCGAATAAGAAGTTGTCACACAACATTAAGTTGACAGTATTTTTTCTACATACTTTCCACATCAGAGAACTTCTGAGAGTTCACTAAAAGCCTCTTCTTTTCAATCCTATGGTATTGCCAGATGGACTTGCATATGCCACCAAACACTTAAGAGGTAACAAATGCCAAACCAGAACATTTGTTGAAGCTGCTAGCTCTTAAAGCATAGCTGTTGCATCTGCAACTCAAGCAGATGCAATTGCAATTGATACTGTAAACTGCCCTTGCCGAAGGGCACTTGAGGATTCCCAAGCAGCAGAAAAAAATAGTTTTGTTGTTGGATGTTGGAATTTTGTTGGCACCCATTGCTCTTTTTCTACTAAGCTTACTGCACAGTGGTGGTCTGCATTTCCACACTTGTCTCAGAACTATCACACCCACAACAAATCAGGATGCTCACTTATTGCAACAGCAATACATTGCTGCTATCTCTGCAGATAGGGACAAAATCAAGAGGCCCTGTCTTAGACAGCTTTCACCTCAATGGTGATCCAAATTGCTGCTAAGGTTCCAAAGAACTTCTTTGCTAACTGAGCGGGTATTTTTAAATTTTGCATGTCATACTGACTGTTTGCACGTTTTTTCCTATAATGCATTTACCAGTAAGGGTACACCCTTAGTAGACTCCTGCGAGTTCCGAGGGGGCTCAAATCAACGTGCCCAAGCAGCAGCATAACCCTTGCTCTAGAAATGTATCTTGGCTCCCCTGAAGTGAACTCTTTAAAAAGACTTTCTTCAGGCACTGTTTTTACCAAGTGCTGTCACGGAACAAGGAAAACACTCAGCTACGAGCTCCACCCGGGCCGCTGTGGCTTCACTGACGCCATTGCGCCGGGGCTGCGCCGGGCTGCGGGCGGAACACGGCCCGGCCCTCGCCCCACGGCAGGGCAGCCCGGCTGCTCGGCACTGCACCCCGGGGGGATACCCCGAGGGGACACCCCGACGGGATACCCGAGACCCCGTTCCAGCCAGACGCCTTCCTTCCCCCAGCGGCCTGTGGCCGGCTCAGGGCCGCGGCGAGTTTTAGGGCGCTCCGCTCCGGGGCGGAAGGCGGCCGGGATGAGCCCGCACCCACAGATTCCCGGTCCCGGCCCTCCGTGCGGCCACAGCCCCGCGGCCCGCGCCCACTGCCGCCGGGCCCGCGCCCAGCCCCGCCGCCGCTCACCGCGGCCTCCCGCCCGCGCCTCGGCCCGCCTCCACCCGCCTGCTTCCAGCCGCTTCTTCCCACTGGCCTCTTCCTCCCGTCCGGGAACGGGGCGGAGGCGAGCGGGGGGCGGTTTTCGGCTGGTGTTGTCTCGCCGCCATGGCGGAGAGGATGTACCGGGGCGCCGGCTTCCCGTCTGGCGGGGAAGACTCGCTAAGAAAAAACATAAATTAATGCACTCATGTCGTGATAAAAGCACCTTTGGGCCTCTCTACCGTAAGCGCGCGGATGAGACAGTTCCCTCCCTAGTGGAAGTGCAGCTGAGGACTCAGCAGGCCGGTGCTGTGACCGTAACTAAAAAAATCACAGAATCAATTAAGTTGGAAAAGATCTCTGGAGATCACCGAGTCCAAGCTGTGACCCAAGACGACCACGTCAGGTAGACCATGGAGTGCACGAAGTGCCACATCCCGTCTCAAGCACCTCCAGGAACAGTGACTCCACCACCTCCCTGAACAGTCCATTCCAGAGACACACATCACCTGCTGTGTGTCTCGCCAGTCTTCAACACATCTGGGGACTCCACCATCTCCCTAGGCAGTATATTTCAATATTTTCTGTGAAGAAATTCTTCCTAATGTCCACCCTAAACCTCCCCAAGCTGAACTTGAGGCTATGTCTGCTCATCCTGTTGCTGGTTTCCCGGGAGAAGAGGCCAACCTGGGTACAACATCCATTCAGGTGGTTCTAGAAAGCAGTAAGGTCTCCCCCGAGTCTCCTCTTCTCCAGGCTAAACATCCCTCAGCTGCTCCTCACAGGACTTGTGTTCCAGAAAAGGCATCCAAATTATGGCAGCACTTGCCCAGGAACACAGACATGGTTCCAAGGTGGTGCTGCGTGGCCTCCTTGCGGCTCCCCTCACTCCTGAGGTCTCCCTGGCTGCTGGAGGCTCTTACAGGGCTGGCAGTTGCAGGCACCTGCAGAGGAGGGAAGGCAGGGACATTTCGAGGCCATGCAACAGCTGCTGGTCTTGTGGTGTGCAGCAAGGGAAGGAAACCACCGAGCCTGTTCAGGGCATCCAGATTTTTATTTTTCTTAAGCACAAAAAATACCACCTGTTGGTCTGGAAGACAGTGTTGTTTGGCAACCAGAACCAAGTAGGAAAAAAATCTTTTACATTATGTCAAGAAGAGATCTTTGCAGATTTCCCTGTAAGGACTTGATCCGGACCAGTTAAAAGCACAGACTATTAGTCAGCATGTTTAGTCACGAAGCAAACATTTCTCTCTGTACTCTTGAAGTACAGTTTCCAGATGGCAGCCCAAATTGATCTCCTTACAAACACAGCACGAGCCTTCTAAACTAATGCTTCATATTTTGCAAATTGAATCTGTACTATCCATAATAAGGGCTTACTTGGTTTCTCTGGAGAATATGTTGTCAGTCGTATGAATTCAGTAAAGCTAGGAGTGCACCATTTATCAATAATTTTAACATAAATGTCTGTCTATGTGTCATTTAGAGATGAATAGCAGAACATCTCTATGGAAACAGTACAGCTATAGTGCAACCAAGAGAAATAATGTTCCATATCATAATCACAAAGGTAGCTTGCAAAAAAGAGAATTCTAAAGGCATAGCAAGCATATGTGTTGTGTTATTCAGAAAAAAAGTGGTAGGAAAAATGTTAACCTTTTACATTGAAGTGCCTGCACATAGAGAGCAAGAGCACACACAGTAAGGAGCCTAGTCTGTAACCACATCCTTTTAGGACATCCCTTTAGCCCAGGGATAAAGAGAAGTCAAGATGCAGGACCTTGTGACTGGTGGGCATTGGCACATTCCACCTGTCTCTGCAAATTGGTCAGAGGCCTCCTGCTAGGTGCAGTGCAGGCCACCAGCTGCTTCAGATTCTGCTGCTTGTCCAGCACCAGCAGAAAACCTCTTCAAATGCAGGTATAGGTGGAGGTGAATGTCAAAGTTAAAAAATAAACAAAAAGGCCTCCACGCCCCCCAATCCACTAAAAACCAAAACAACTACAACCAAACAATCAAATAAAAAAAGGAAGAAAATAATTGCAAATATTTGATCCAGCTGTTCATTCACATTTAAAAACTATACCTAGATCTGTGAAGGACTAGAAAATACTCCCTTAATTTCCCTCTTCCATTCATTTGTATTTTCCTATATTAGTTTTTATATTCCTGTATATCTAACCTTAGGTAGGTACAACACTGACCATGAAATATGGGTATGTGAAGAAATTACATGAAAAGCTGAATTTAAAGGATGCAGATGGCAATATCGCAGTTATAGTTTAGAGCAAGGAACAAATATAAAATCTGACATATTACAGGCTAGCTGTAGGTAGCAAAGTGAAATAATGTAGGCCAGAATTTGGTCAGACAACAACTGCTGTTCTGAAAGTTTGTCTTAAATATTTTATGACCACAGAGGAAGTACTGTTTCAGTTTAGTAGTGCCATTTAGTGCTTTGCTGCAGATTTGGATTAGAATGATTCCAGAAAGAATAATAGTACCCACCTGAAAAAAAAGCCAAATTTCTTTGTTTCTTGTAAAACACAATGAAATGTTTGTTTTTTTTCCAGACAATTCCTTAGTCATTTCAGCCTTCCTTATTTTATAGTATCTGTTAGGGCACTGGAGCTGTATACCACAATGGTTGAAATAAATGTCTCTTGAAATCTTGCCTTTTAAAAATCCAAAATTAGAGGCCAACATCTCTTAAGCTAAAAATATACTTCATTCTATTTGATTTTCTACCACCATCCATTGCAAAGAACATACCAGTACCTGAGTTCTCTCTTCTGAACATGAGAAATAAAGGAAATACCATTGTTATTATCACATTTAGAAAGCCTCAAAAAACCCCAGGAGTCAACCCTATACACCAGTGCGTACACCACATTACGATTTCATGGCTACAAATTAAATGAGAAGTGAAGAACAACTCTCCTTATTCTTTTATAATTTCTTCCAGATATTCCTTAAAGAGTAGCAATAGAAAGATTACCTAGATTATGGAGAATGTCAGAGAATTGTTATAGCAGAGGAGAGCTGTTAGTAACTGGAATGTACAGGGCTGGAATGTACAGTGCTTTGGTCTGCTTGGTTGTAGTAGACAGGTGCTGTGTACATGCAAGAACTGGGTATTTGAAAACAACTGTTGCAGTGTGATGCATTTCCAACTCAAGCAACTTGTCTGGAGATTTTGGAATAAATTCTCTTTGTTTGGGATATGTTCCATCAGTCAAATTTGAACTACAAAAGGACAGAGAAAAGAACTGAAGTGGATGAAGAGATTTCTTAAAATCCCAATTCCTCCAAAGATTCAGATTTGGAAAATCAGGTGACAGGAAGTTTCCATTACTGGTTATGGGCACGGATACTGAAATTTTAACTCGACAGTACATATTTAGACAAAAAGTAAGGATAAGTGATGGCTTGTGGAAAAAAATACACTCACAAAGTTTTATAAATTTGTACTGGACCAATATGAAACATAAACTGTCTTCTTAACTGTTTATTCTCCTTTAGTATTAACTATGGAGAAGAGGGTATCTCCATTCTTTGAATTACAGTGAACATATACATTTTATTGTTTTATATTTAGACTAAGAGAGGAGTCAGGTGTCAAAGGTTTGCCCCAACTTTTCCAGCTGTGCAGGGACTATGCTATGCTTTGCTCCAGAAAGCGCAAATAGGAGACAGTCCTGAGCTTAGTAGCAGACTAATAGCATTTTAAAAGTGGCTATCTGTTTTTTCACTTCTTATCACAACGATATATAATTCCCGAAAGTTTTAACATCCAGGGAGTGGGCAGTATTTCAAGCGCAGAAAAATCCAAAAAACTAAATGCAGGAAAGGGAATTTCATAGTATGTTTGCATGCAGTGCACTAGAGGGCCCTCAGGAGTTAGAAATAGATGGAATGCACTTTTGAAAGGCACATACTTCACAGGACTTTTCATTACAGAATTTAAAATAGAAGTTGCTGTGGTTTTGTTTGTAGGGTTGTTTGGTTTGGGTTTTTTTTTTTTTTTACAATGTGAAGTTCATGTAAGTTTATAGCAGTTCATATGCAAGCACCTCACAGTAAAGTCAGCTTCTCAACAGTTCAGCTTGCAATGAAGTACCTAAATGTGAACCATACTTAAAAGTGAAATATTTTCTAGATGCCAGCTTCTACTCATTTACTTTTATTAACCTAAGGAGTTTACCAGAACAAAAGATGTGTCAAGCTGAATAGGTAAGTAATTTTAATTTTATAGCAATATATATACAATGTGCACTTATTTTTTGTTTCTTGGAAAGGATATATAAGCCACTGTCCTTTTATTTTAAAAAGCTGTAGCTAGATTATTTTTATGGCTTCACAAGAGTGAAGAGTATTAACCATCTTTCAGTTTTAATGTGTGTTTAAGAATTATGGGAACTACATTCATAGTCAACTAGGAAAATTTGGCACTGTTAATATATTTTTATATTAGTGAGTATATGCATATTTAACTACTAGTCCCTGGTTCATATTTGGATCATTTACAGCATTTCCATAATGTGAGGTTTATTGAAGACTTTGTCTTGTAAGAAAAAGGTAATGATCTTGGTTTAACAAGCATTTCTTCTAGTGCTGGATTACATCCAGCTGAGATTGAAAATTGAGCCTGTATTTAATAGTTTTGGTGTTTGATTTATACTGTAATGAGAAAGTAAAAGGTGTATCCTGGCAAATTCCTACATGCATACTGTCTCTTTTCTCTGAAAAATATAGAGCCACAGATGCTATGTGCGAGTAATGAATGGAAATGCTACTATTTTCTTTTTGCAGTTTGCAAAGAAGATATGTAGATCTTTTAGACTGCAAGTCAGTAAGCTCTGCTTACGCAGCTGGCTCCATTCATTCTCTGAAGCCAATCACTTCCCCTGTGGTGGCTGATAAGAATTTAACAGTTTGAGAAGGTGGAGTGTCAGCATCCTTAGTGCTGACCACGTTCCCAGGCATATCGGTAGCCTCTGTCCATCACCCATGCTGGAAGCTACTTGGAAAAGGAGAAACAGAAATTGGGGAAGGGAAATCATGCATCATCATCTTGTCTGGAATGTACAGAAGACTTTGTGCTGTTCTCATCATGTGGATTCACTAGAGAAATGACCCCTTTTGATCAGCCAAGTAAAATCAAAAACTTGTTTATTTGCTGCCTGTGGCCCTCACGGGTGCTGAGGCTCTGGACTTGCAGGCGCCCAAGGACAAGGAGGAATCTGCTAGTGGGCACAGCCTGTGTGATCTACCTGGGATTCCTTGTCAGCCAAGTGGGTCACGTTTTACCGCAGCACAAAGGAGGACATCAAAAGATCAGTTCCAGGAGTCTCCAAGATGCAGCTCAAACTCCCTTTCTGGGAATCCCACTGGATGGCACCCTGTCACCACCCAATTTCCAAGAACCCCAGCTTGGTAGCAATGGAACCTTGCTGCCACCCAATGTAGTTTATATCACCCTGCGGTCCAAGCGCAGCAAGCCTGCCAACATCAGAGGCACAGTGAAGCCAAAGCGCAGGAAGAAAGATGCCACCCGTTTGTCCTATGGGCATCACTTTCCAAAAGCCACTTTCATGGGCTGGGAAGAGGCCTTTGCCCAACAGCCAGGGAGGGCCACACATGCTGCAGGCACAATGGGAGCAGCGATCGCTCTGGAGGCAAGCAAGTACCAACTGGATGAACACAGGCATAAAGGAATGGCTATCAGGGAGAGAGGTCACCAGAGACCTGGGAGGATTTCTGGAGCTATAAATGCACAGCTCCAGCCTGAGGAAAGCAATATCAGGATTTACAGCGAGAGCCCTCCCTCATGGATGAGCAAAGATGACATCCTAAACATGCGCATGCTGGCAGATTCTCCCATAGAGAGCATTCAAGAACTGCCTTCGCACAAAGCAGTCTTGGTAGTATTTGCAAGAGGTCCCAGCACCACGGGAACTGCTTGTAATCAAGGACACTGTGGAATTGTCAAAAGACCTCTCGACATGAGTGAGGTGTTTGCCTTTCATTTGGACAGGATCTTGGGGCTAAACAGGAGCTTACCTTCTGTAAGCAGGAGATCAGAGTTCTTCCAAGGTAACACGTTTGCATGGTTTTCAGCTTGCAGGTGCAGAGGTTTCCTTCCTGCTCTGCATTAGCCATGGGGCAGCAGCAGCCACCCCCTTTAACTCCTGTGAGCCTGAGGACTAACCCCATTGTTACAGGGAAATAAAGCCAGTGCCTGTGTGTAACTCATGTTGTGCAGTTATCCTGTCCAAAGGAAGAATACCCCAAAGTTTGCAGCAAATAGAATTGCTGAGGGCAGTAACAGTTTCCTCACACAAGTCTGGAGCAACAAAAAAGAGAAAGAGCAATCTGTAGATTGCATGACACTTTACAGACTGCCTGAAGTGAAACTGATGAAAGAGATTCCAGAATCTCTGTGATTCAATAGGTATTTCTGATTTTTTAAAATAAACTTCACATCTTTCAGAATCGACTTTGATAAAATACTGTTGGAACTTGTCACAGAAATTCATCTCTCAGGTGGCAGGAATGGGGTCAGATAATCTTCTTGGAGAGGTAGGGAACCTGCCTGCAGAAGTTTGAATCTCCTTTTAAGGCACTAATCCCTTTGGGAACTGGAATTTTTTGAAAGGTGCTTCCCTTTCCTCTGGTTGTTAAAACCCAAACAAACTAAATTTCAGTGAATTCTGCTATACATTTTGGGGTTCACTGCACACATCTATATATTATCCAAAGAAACACACATAGTAAATATCTCAATATGCCTGTTACATGATTAGTATAGTTTTCAATTAAAAATTGATTTTTAATCTTTAGTGACATTAAAGGTAGAATTCAGACATGTAATGTTAGAAATCTACTTTAAAATTGCTACCTTCTTTAATATGTCTTCAGCATAAGTCCTATTTTTGTACAGTCACAAATCCAAAAGGACTGTTTCATTTTAGTGAATCATTGCAAAAGTAGCTGCTGTGTTTTTTGCTGTTAATTTTTTTCTTTGAAATCAGCTTATACCAAATATTTTTATACCAGTCTGCATTTCTTAAAAAGAAAAGTAATGCTAGAATGGTTTTCTAAAATCTCACAGCAGGAAGACAGCCTCGTGATCCTCCAGTGTCTTCCTGCTTTGTAAACCTTCCCTTTGGCAGCCTGTATAACAATGGGAATGAATCTCTAGGAACAACAGTTTGGAGGCTTCTGAATATTATTCATACTTGCAGAGCATGGAAGATACATTATGCCTATTTTATTTTTAGGAAGAAGATCTATTGCTACAGAGCTGTCATAAGGCATTAAGGTAGCTCAGATGGGGAAGATCTGCACAGTGTGGCTGCAGAGATGACAGACTGCAAACCTCGGAAAACTGCTATTAGGCTAATTGTGCATTGTGTTGCTCAGTGTCTGTCACCTTACAGTATGTTTTGGACTGTCTGGGACAGAGTGTGTCATTCTGCCCTCTAATTTTCTTTTCCTCATAACTGGCTAAGTTCCTATTGCAAGAGGAGTGTTGCTAGGTGATGAGAAGAGAAATAACACTATTTTGGTCTCACTTCATTTTTTCCAGCTAAAGGCCGAGCAGAGCACTTGGAACAGTGACTGCACCTTGTCTCTCATGATTTCTTTAGCCTGGAAATATGCTGGAACTCAGATTCCTAATAACTACTTGAGCTCTTTACTATTTACGTGCTTGTGTCTGGCATAATGTGAAAATATTTGTGTTAGGAAAATGAGCAAAAATATAGTTCTTAAAAATAATATGAGCAATTATAATTTAAATGACTTATTTGTGTTTAAGATAGGTGGGCTCTGTAAAGTTTTTTACAGAGTGGCTTGTGTGAATCAGTTATTCACATGGAAAAGCAAGCAATGCAGGATTAGAGACTGTGCATGTGTGTATGAATGTACACTCTTTCTGGGCTGACAAATCTCTTTCTCCCCAACACATCCCTTTAGCTTGCCTCAGTTGTGATGTGATCCAACAAGACATGTTTGATGTAGCATTAAAATCTTAAAAAATGGCCTTTTCAAAACTGTCATTCATTTTGTCAAAAGCAGTTTCAAAGAACTGCTTAGTAAATCCCTGAACAGGTTCTATTTCCCTTATTCCCACACATCTGATGCTGATTTTTTTTAAAGTCTAGCAAAATATTATATTCAAGTTCCCTGTTTGCTGCCCTCACCTTCTGTAGTTAATTGCAAACCCTTTTAAGTGTTAACTGATTTTTTTTGTGGCTCGTCTAATTTTTCCATCATGCATCCTGGATGGAAAAACCAGGTATGGTAACTCTTTCTCTCATACTTTTACACTGAATTGACTGAATGTTAAAAGCCTGAGTAGTATAGGTACTCTACTATCCCTTTTGAAATGCCCCCTTTTGAGCTGGGCATTACAGTCTAAAGAAGCATGATTTTGTGCATACACAATCATTTGTCACTTCCATTGCTACCTATGAGATGTGAAAAATGTCTCCAAACACCTATAAAAAAAGAAGGACAAGCCTGTGAAACACCAAGAAATAATCATAAAATTATGTCACTTGTGGAATAAATGAAGGCTGACCTCTATGTGTCTGAGTTTTGGGTGGGTCACATTAATACTACAGCACTAGAACACTTCATTACTTCATAAGCTAACAGAAAGCACATAAGTGACCTTGCTTGGTGTCACAGCCCTACCTTAATGATCTTTGCACAGGAGCTAAGTCAAATGAGTGCATATATGGCCTCCAGCTGAGCAACTGCATTTACCTGGTGGGACGGTGGCAGTATTTGTTAGGCTTAAGCTACATCTGGAGTTCTTGGGCTGGGGCAGCCTGGCTTCTCTGTCTCAGCTGACAGCTGTAAGGACAGTGCTCTGGCTCCTTGGATAGCAGCAGCGAGGCTGGGCTCTTTGTTCAGCTTTTGGTACAATAGCCGTTGCTATGCAGTTTTGTTGCACCACTTACTGAGGGACTGAACTACTGTGTGCTGATGGCTACTTCTCTTTCCCTATGTTTTCTGATATCTTGAGTCTGATTAAACTGAGAATAATAAGCACTGGTGTATTCAATCTACTATTTGTCCAGAACCTCCTTTTTCCCCCAAAACATGCAAGAAACTCTTCCTTTAAGTAACATCTTTTATGGCTGGTTTAGTGCAAATAGATGAATGACATGATAGCTCCACTGGTTACACTTATTTTGCTTTACTGGCCTCTGCATGATCATAAAAGGTGTCCTAGTTTTTTCTGTGTTATACTCTGTGCTATCAGCGTGCTCTTGCACCAACAATTATGCATTATGCATTATGCATTATGCACCAACAAATATGAATCACCAATTTCAGGACAAAGAATAAAAAAATAACACTGCTTTATGCATTCAGAGTGCTCTAAAATACTTCCACATAGTGCTGTACCTCTCAAAGGGGTACGAGAGGCATATTTCCAGTATTCTGTTGGGTAGAGAAGTTCATGTACAAGCAATAATGCAGTCCATAGTCTAGAGATCAACTAATGCACATTTCATGCATTCCTTAATACTGACATCCATATGAGCACAGGACAGAACATTGCAATGATGTGCATAGGGAAGAAAGAAAAATAAATGGCCTAACTTCTCTCTGCTCTCTGCTTCTGTTTCTTCTGTTCAGTTTTCCCTAAAAACTGAAACTCTCAAAATTGTGTTCTGTATGCTGGTCCCTCTCATTTTCCACACAAAATTACCCTTTCTTGCTAATACATGGACAACTAAACTCTTCTTGCAAATGTGGCAGAGGTGGGATGTACTGCCTTACAGTGAACAATGGTGAGTTTGAGAAAGGGCTGTAACTACCTCATGAAAGATTTTCTGGTTTTAGTGTTGATCTTCTGGGCATGTTTGAAAATATTTTCTTTTGGGGAAGTTAGAGAAAGTGCTTTAGATATAAGTCAGAGCACAAGATGAGAGTAATGTTTGCAAGAGCAAAATGTGGTTCCTAACCACATGAAGTTCAGAGGCATGCAGTTTATTTTCAGAGTGATGTGGGGTGTGGAAATCTAAGATGATGCCTGTGTTGAAGAAGCCATGCAGCAATACCAAGTGGCACATGAAGCAGTTTGAATACCTTGACATGGTCTAGTCTCAGCAGCCTGAGGTTTCATCTGTGTTAGCTTATTCAACATAGCTAAGACATTTTTAGAAATGTTCTCTGATGTTCAAAAATGTGTATGAATTACTAGGAAGATGGTTTCAGCATGAGTTTAGAAAAATCTTTCCCATAGAATTTTGAAGATTGCCTCTGGATAGTTAAGTAGATATATAGATCTAAAATAGCAGATAAAAATAAAATGAAGCCAATCAGCTCTGGGTGAGATTCAGTGCAGTGCAGCTGCAGCAACAGAAAAGCAGTACCCCTCAGTGTTAATATGTAAAGCTGACTAGGAAAGAAGCACATACAGAACACACTGGACTTTTTCTGAAATGTGCTTCACCTTCCATGTAGGTCTCCTCACTGTTGAGGTAACTTCAGCCCCATCCTAATGAGGTTTGATTCAGAAAAGCTCTGCTGATTTTATTTGGGTCATACCAATTCATGAAGCTGTGCATCAGACCCCATATCTGCTTTAATTCAGCATCTTCATGTTTTTCCTGCAAGTGTCAAAAATTTGAGTCACAGCTCTTTACTGAAGCTGCTGTTTCATGTTCCTGTAGTCCAATTTATATTACAGAGTTGAAAGGGTTTTTTTTTTTTGGATCATCTTTTCTGCTCCCATTTCCTTTGAAATGCAAACATTTCCTGTATTTAACCTTAGTCTTTTAAAAATGTTTTTGTATCTTAATGGAAACTGGCATGAAATTATTCATAGTTTTCAAGTATTTATATTACCATTGTTTATCATGTCCTTTTTGGGTAGACAGGAGATGTTTGTTTTCTTAGAAAAATGTTTATGTATTTTATTTGTGGAAGAATTCATGAATAGTTACATAAGTTGTTACTGGAGATATAAAAATAATAGATCAGATTTGGTCCTGAGGAAAGCTGTCCTTTTTTTTTTTTTGAGAATTTCCAATGCTTAGATAGACTTTCTCCACCCTTCTTGGAAGGGTGGAAGCTACCCATATCTGACCTAACTTGAGTAAAGTCATGTACAATGTAGGTGATAGAACCAGAGTGAGAGATCTGGAGAAATGGGTAGGATTTCCCAAATAAGTTATCTAAGTATTTATTCAGGCACCTCAGTAGAGGAGAAGCCTTATTTTCAGGAGTGTTCAGCTCAATTTTTCAGTGGAGGAGAGTATGGAGCATGGTGCTGATAAAGGTAATCCAGATCATAAGGAAAGAATGATTGATGTTCCTAATGGAAAGACACATTCTGTGTTTCTTAGGAACACTGGGCAATGGGGAAGGAAGTTAAAGAGGTGGTGGGTTGTTGGGCTGGCTTGGCTTTGGAAGGACTGCCTTGGTTGTGCAAGCCAAGGCAGAGAGAAGATCAGGTACATTCTGCTTTGGAAAGGAGTTGGCTTTTCTCTTGGGCTGGATTGCATGTGGGGCTGGTCTGTCATGCTTGTTTGCTGAATGGGAGATGGAACTTTGCACATGTTCCAGTGCTAGGTACAGGCAAAGATCCTTTCTTACCTGTTGTTTTACAACAGTCAGCATCCTTTGAGCGAGTTGCGTTTTGATTCAGCTGCGTGGAGATTGCTTTTCACAGTCCTGGCTGCTTAGAAGTGGAGCACTGACATTGGCAGCTTTTACCTCACTGTTGGAACTGATACCTGTTTTCCATGGGTTATTTTCTGTCTGGTTTGCCTCTGAAGAAGGTGGCCTGGACCTCTTGCCTTCATGTGTTTCTAAAAGCTTTTTTGCAGATCTGTCTCTGTCACCATGGGCACATGGAAGACAAAGAGACAATTTAGGCTGCACTTAACTATGCATACTATAAATTGTGCAATAGTGTAGACTAAGTTCATTGAACTTCAAGATGAATATGAATAATTTTTAAAGCTTGATATGTGTTCCAACACTTTTTAGTAAACAGCAGATAAGCTTTGCAGTTAAAGGGTTCATCTTCTCTGTACCAAGACATATTTTGATTTTCTGTCTACATACCCTAAAATATAAAGTATTTCTTTGTTTTAATGTATACAAGCAATGATCAGTCATGAGTCCTTGGCAGTTTAAGCAGCAGTAGCATTGCATCAGGAATAAAAGGAGGGTTTCCTCGTAAGATAGATATGTCTGTTCCTTGATGCTATGTGAAGTATATTTGTCAGTTCTTGTACTGGAAAAGCTAATTTTAAATTCTTTGATGAGGTTTATTCTCACAGTGAAGCTGAACAATAGAATTCACCAAAGAGAAGTCCTCTGTCTTAGTTTCATGGAAGAGAAGAATATTCTTTACACAGAAGAACTAAAGAATTTGGCTAAAATATCTGCTATACAAAACAGATCTCATATCTAGGTAAAAACCCCCAAACTTGTCAAGTTGTTTATTCATGCTAAGCTCACACTCTCTAGTATTCTCATATATCCTTTCAGAGCTGTGGAGTCATACATTGTCAGTTTAAAATACTAAAAATTGGAAAATAAATCCACTTAGAGTATAGGATTTATGGTGTCTCTATGTCCATTATATTGATATAAATTTCCAGCTCTTGAAAATCAGCAGTTCACTGGAATCAGAGGGAAATTATATTGTTGATTCACAGTGGCACCATCGACTTTTAACCTACCTAGGAACTTTTTTAATAGTTTGGTTTAGTGTATGATTTTGTACATTAATCTCTTGCTTCAAACAAAGAAAGTCTTCCACATGCTGAAGGCATTTATACCTATGCTTCCATTCCTGTGGTGGCTGGTTATGGATGTGGATAGGACCACATTAACCAAAGAATGTCAAGATATTAGTCTCTGGCAGGTTCTCCTGCCAGATCTGTAAAATAGTATAATTACTAATTCTTGGGCAATGTCTAAAGAAAAATAAAATAAAACTGACAGTATTGCACTATGATAATGATATTTTTTTCCTTTTTTCAGGGGGTCAAGCCTGTCCTGTTATTCTCTGGGATTCCTCACTGAGTCCAACAGATAATAGTACCCATTCTTCAGTGAGGTTAACGTGGGGACAATATCAGCAACTATTGAAGAAAAAATGCTGGCAGAATGGTAAAGTTCCCAAAGCTGAGTGGGGCTGCACTGGAATTCATCATCATGAATGGTCCAAGATGGCACTCTTTGATTTTCTGTTGCAGGTAAAATGTTTGCTGAACACAACTATTTGCCTCATAAGTCATGGGAGCAAACATAGAATTTTTAGAAGTAATTTTAGTGTATTTCATATTTTTAAATGGGGAAGATAGATATTTATAAAGTTTGAAATTATTTCTGGTTATGTCTTATGATTAAGATGTCCAAAATGCAGCTTATAATCAGACAGGAAACCTAACTGACTCATTTATTTTTAAAGAGGAAGTAAAGGCTTTTGACTTGATTTATTTCACCTTGAGGCAGGCATGCTGTTTCTCCTTCACTCCTTGTTTCTCCAAATAGAGATCTTGACTGTGTTTACAACTGTAAATCTCTGTTTACTCTGTGGTCCTTCCTGCACCTCCCCAGCCCCAAGAGGTGACTGAAGTGGTTTTGGTGAGCTGCAATCTGGAGCAAGGTAACAGTTGTAGTAGATAATTTTTCCTTTAAAAAAAAACAAACCTCGAGAGTGACTTAGTAAACAAGGAGTAGAGCAGCAACTGATGAATGATAAATCTGCTGTTCTATTATCCTGAAGGAGTGGTTGGTTAAAATAAGATACAATAGGATTGAAGTTTGCATGACAGGAGACAAATTACTCTTGTACTAGCAGCTGGTATCAGAGTGATTTATATCTCCTATTGCTTACCAGACCAGAACATGCATTCCAGAAAGTGAAAGTGACTCTCATAGTTCTTAAAGACTACAATTTTATCTTCATGCTCTGAAAGTTTATCAGCAGCAGAATATGGAAACTTGAAAACAAAAAAAAAAATGCCAAGAAAGGGTTCTGTATTAAAAAAAGTAAAATCTGTGCTTCCTGAGTCATTCAGAAGCAAAAAATAATGTGAAATGTATTCTCTATTAAGCATAAGTCCCTCAGAAGCGGTTGACATCTCTAATAGATCTTCCTAATCTCTGGTTTCAAATGCTGTAAAGAACATATCAGCAGGATATAAAATACTTGTAGTTGACCTTTACTTGCCTCCTGTAAGAACTCAGGCAAAATGGATTCTTTAATTTTGGGGGTTTGGACCTCTTATGTACATAAATGTATGACAGAAAATTGTGCTAAACTACATGCATCAATTCCAGAGTGTTCCATCATTATGTCTAGCGCTGAAATGGTGCAATACATTATGAAGAGGTTGTCTGTAAGAACAAGATCTCCGTGTCTATTTAATGCATGTAGAGAAGTGTAAAGGAATGGCGTCTGTACATCAAAGGAGTCTATCTAGAAGGACTCTGCTTTACTTTTTTACCTTTGGATGAATTGACTGAGAGATCCCAAGAGAGAGAACACTGGAAGCAAGAGGGGCTCTACAGCCTTCAGATAATGAATGCTGCTCATGAAAAGAGAAAGAGGAAGAGATGTCTGTTCCTTTCCTCAGGATTTTGATATTTGGAAACAAAACACAGCCAGCAATACAACTAGAAATAGAACTACATATAAAAAACCCCAAACAAAATCAAAACAATCCCAATTATCAGACTTTCATTTGATTAAAGAGGTGACCTTTTCATTCAACATGTGACAAAGTTCTGCATCGGGTGGGGTCCTAATGGTTCATTTTGCTGGGGTGCTACAAAAAGAAAATTGTAATTTTTGAAGGCTTATGCGAACAGTAATGCTTTTATGTTTAAAGCAGTTTGAAGAGTTGACAGTAAACAACGAAGGACAGAAAAAATGATTGAGCTTTGATGAGCTACTCATTAAGTCTTATATGCACCAGGCCACACTTCCACTCTCTAAACACCTGTTCGCAGGAGCAGGTCTGCTCTTTGGGAAGATGAGCTGGAGACAAAGACAGCTCTAGGACAGGCAGGCCAGAAGGAAGAATGGTGAAAGCCACAGGCCTCATTTGTAGCCCTGTGAGCGTCAGGCACAGACAAGCAGTTCCAAGACTGACAAGCAGGAATCTCAATCAGCATCCCAGGAACAAGCAGCACAAAACACCCCAGGAACAAACAGCACTAAACACCCCCACAAACCCCTTTCTCTGAAGGACTCAGAGGAGGGCTGAGCTGCCTGAACTTAATGAGGGCTCGTGTGCCCATCAGCAAAGGTGGGGCATGTGGGTGCCCAAGGTGAGACTTCTATGGGCAATCCAGGCGTATTTGTGTGCTCAGGGCTGTAGCAGTGTTAAATATTTTACTCTTATCTACTCTCAAGAGGTAGAAGCACTTTCAAGAAGTGATTTATCTTTCCTGTATGAGGTGTATTATCCTAAAATGACATCCATTGCTCTGGATGTGCCTTGTTCTTGTCATTCTTTGTGAAAGGGAACAGAAACGACCAAGTCAAAAGCGATGACTAACATTTACACCACCAGAGTTAGGCCAGATTTATGTATTCTTTCCATCTAAGTGCTGTGTGATGAATATTCAAGGGTCTGCATGGGAAAATGTACTCTAGACCATCATGTCATAAAAGCATATACCACAGGGAGGTGGCTCTGTGATTATAAATACACTGTTCTTACATTTTATAACTTTTGTGCCCCTCACTGGCCTTTTCAGTTATTTTGCATATTTTAGCCTAATAGATCCCACCAAATGAATATCCTCTGTGTGTGTCAGACTGTGCTATTTCTATTGTTCTCCAGCAGAGCAAATGTAAAAAAAAAACCCAAAACCAAACCACTTCTGACAAAGAAAAGAGACTTGTATTCACCAGCCTGTTATCCAGTTACACAGTGGTATTGTTCTATTATTTTCAAAGGATTTCTACTGGTATTACAGATCATGGCTATAAAATGGATAAAATACAGTCCGAGAAACTGCTTTTAACAGTACCTGAGGTATGAGGACCATATCTTTCCTGCTGTTTCACTGTCTTTAATTACACTTGTCCTGAGCTTGCTTTGCTGTCAGCTGGGTTAGAGATCAATGTCTTACAGTTACACTTTGCCCCAAGTGATTTGGTATTGTTTTCACTTGGCACTCTGCTGTACTTTGTTTTAGATCTATAATCGACTAGACAGAAACTGTTGTGGATTCAAACCTCTCAAGGAGGATTCCTGCATGCAGCAAGGACTAAAGCTGAAATGCAATGATCAGGATGCTGTTAACCTGACACACATCGTTCAGAGAAGGCATGACCAAAGGCATTTGGCCTTTATAGACAATAAAGGTTTCTTTGACAGAAATGAGGACAATCTTGACTTCAAAATACTACAAGGAATCAATGAGTAAGTTTTAAATTATTCATTTTGTAAAAAGTTTGATAATTTCTTTCCAGTTTGAGTATGAGACACTAAACTACTGGAATATATATCATTGGCCCAAGACATTGACAGGATGTATCTAAAAATGTATGAGTAATCCCACAGCTGTAAATGATACAATTAACATACATATGATTAGGAATGCATGGACTTCCTTTGCTGAATCACAGCCTATATTTGTACAATTGATTGCTAAACCACAACATAAATACTGCAATTCAGAGTAATGGCAAAAACTGATGAACTTCTTTGTGCTTTTCCAGATTCCCTGCATCTGCAGTTTCAGTTCTGAGGAGCCAGCATTTACGTGAGAAGTTGCTCCAGTCTTTGTTCCTTGACAAAATATACTGGGAGAGCCAAGGAGGCAGAAAAGGAATTGAAAAGCTTATTGATGTAATAGAAAGGAGGTCCAAAATTCTTCTTACTTATATAAATGCACATGGAGCCAAAGTATTGCCCATGAATGAATGAAACAGTCTTGTTTCCATCTGAAAAAAAGTCTTTAAACTTTTTTTTATGGTGCAGAAACTGATGGTAAAATTGATTTAATTCATAGCATTATTTTTTTCCCCAACTTTGAAACTTACTTTTAAATAAGAAATCTTACATGGTTTAAAAGCAGAATTTAAATGTTATCTGCATCTCAACACACTTTAGTCTCGTCTATGTCACAAGTGAAATGAGAAATAACTGAATGACAATATGCAGTAATATGTAGGTACCATGAACACTCTTTCTGTTAAATTAGCAATAGGATTTTCAGTTCATTAGGCTGGATTGCTCTTACTTTCCTCATTGAAGTCAGTAGAATATTTTATTGCAAGTTTAAATGGGAAAAGAGATGTGTAAGCACTTGATACATTGATGACACTTGCTGAAACATATATAGTACAGGAATTTTTTCCTTTATTAGGTATACTAAAATGCCAAAATTTCCAAGGGCTTATTTTATTTTATTTTATTTTGATCTTCTGAAATCTGAGAACTAAATTCAGCTATTTTAAATGCAGGAGTGTTTGTGCTGGACATGAGGGCATTTTAAAAACAGAGTGAGGAGAGCGTGGCTTTAATAATAATAATTATTTTGACAAATACAGTTTTTACTTGTCCAGTATGGATTAAAATTCATCATGAGTCACTCATTGAAATATGCATTTTTCAATGCAAGTTCTGATGTGTGGATAGATGATCTGATATTTTCTGTCTATTGATTAACTGGGTATTTTTTTTAAAAAAATAGCTTTAGCTTTGTGGGAATATGTTGCTAAATAAGTGCATGTTTTTGTTTTTGCAAAATTCTTGACAGTATTTTCTGAGACTATTATCAAAAGGCAGACCTCCTAACAAGAGTGTTAAACCCAGCAGAAGAAATATTTATTCTGTGTGCTCGGCTCTAGCCAGCAATACAAGCTTGGGTTTCCATTAAGATTGACCGTTGTGGGGTGATGATTGTAACTGAGAACTTGCCCTGAATGTTCCCACAGGTATGGTTGTTAGGGAATGTTGGATAAGCACTTCATATTTTTACCCTTTAAATGCTCCAGAAAGAAAATATCAGTTGATACAGCCTATCATCACATACACCATTAACCTGTTTGTTTAGAAAAACTCTTACCATATTTTTAGAGAAATATCATCTTTTTGCCATGAGGTAATGGTAGAAGTCAGATACTTTTATAGCTACTCTTATTTTATGTATCATAAAAATATATAGGGTGTGAAAGAATTTTGAAAATCCTTGTGTGATGTTATTAATGACAAACTAAAATGTCTCATGTCACTGTTAATGTGGATGGGTGAGTTTAATGTTTTAAATAACTACAATTCCACTGCAGCTAAAATCAGTTTTCTTTCTTAGTATCAGAAAACCCATTAACAATAATTGCATTACTAGAAGAAACAGATCTCATTATGAGCAGAGTTAAAAAGACTTAGTAAAATTTTAAGACCTTAGCCAGCTAAATAATATTTTATTTTATTTTATTTTATTTTATTTTATTTTGTCAGCAAAGTACAGATCAATTTGTTAAAACTTCCTAGAACTTAACTATTGCCTCAAGAGGATGTGTTATAGAGTGCCTTGGACTTTCTAACACCAAGGTAGAATTTTACGGGATTTTCAATTTATCCATTTTTTAAAAGTGTTGTAACTTATTAGCCACATAATTTTCATCACAGAAACAAAAATATTACTTTGGCTTGCACTGTGAACAGAGTCTAGAGAAATAAATAATCCTCAGGATACATTTCACATGGAATTCCTCTTGCAGTGGATTTCACTCTATGATGGCCATCACGATCAGTTTGTCTCATTTTTTAGCCTATGTCACAGGTTTCTTCCTGCTAGATACCTGTTCAAATGGATTATCCCTCACTGCTGGGAGTGAGAGAAAAGCATGACTCTCAGCTGCACTGAGCTTAGGAGACTGCCCAGCAGAGTTGTGAATGTAGGTGATTATGACAAGGTCCCATGAGAACTCCTATCTTTAGACTGCACATCCTGATGCTGAGTCACCGCCTCACTTTTCCCAGTTGTAATTTTTTTCCAGAATTGACTCATTGCCAAAAAAGAAGAGGAAATCTATTATCTTTCCAGGCTGGATCATTTATTTTTTATGGTGATAACTTGGTGCATTTTTCTCCATTTCTTCTGGACATGGACTAGTGTTTCCTTGAGCATGATACATGCTTTTTCATTTGCCTGGCAGTTCAGTGCCAGCTCTTAAAGCAGCAATGTAATTGTCTATGAAATTGCCCTGAAGCTGACCTGAACCAGAGCCTCTCAGTAGTCCTGGGTTCAAGAGACCTGAGTAGCCACAATGCTGTGCAGTCCTTAAAAATCTGACCAAGTATAAAAAGCAGAACTGTAAAAAGCAAAATTTCTGGAGACTCTCAAGGGGCAAAGAAATACTCCCTATGCTGTGTTAGCATGCCATATTTCATGTACAAACACTCTTGCAGTCTTCAGGCAGGCCAGGAGACTGTGAAATTGGATAGTAAGATGGGATAGCAGATTGCTTGTAGTTCTCTCATGTTGATAACAAACTCCAGAAAGTGCTTTTTCCCTATGGTATTTATCCTGCTGCTGTGGAGCTTGGAACATAATCCAGAATTGTTAATAATGCAAAATATAATTGCAATAGCTCTTATGAATGCATACTAGCCAAGTTCTAGCATATTTTTAAATGAAGATGAAGAATTCTGTATTTTTTGAGTGCATTTGCATAAATGCAATAGTAAAAAATACAAAGGGAGCACTTTAAGTTTGTTTATTCTCTGCTACTACCTTTAAGATATCTGCTTCAGAAATGGGGGTAAAGTGTATTGGGAAATTGGTTCACATCCTTTGGAAGTAGTGTGACTTTGGAGTGACAGGAACTGAACTGTAGCTAAATATATAATTAATATTTTAACTGAGAGTTAAAATCCTGAAGGAGCCTTTTTCAAGCTATGGTTATTGATAGAAAGCCAAGAAACTGTGCTTTAGTCCTCTTTGCTGGGCTGTCTTCCATTTCTGGGCATATGGAATCAGACAAAGATTTGAGTTGCACATTGCATGGAAGGGTATAACCAACAGCAACACTGCAAAACCTGCGGGTGGGAAAAAGTGATTATGTCATTCTTGAATCTGCCTGAAAGCCAGAACCACATGAAATGGAATTACTAAGAAAGTCAAGAGTTTATTCTCAAAAGAGTTTGAGATTTCATAACACTGGAAGACAGAGCTTAAAATAAGTAGCACAGGCACAGATGCCTTAAAATTCCTTGGGAGCTTGCCAGCAAGTTAATAGTCTTAAATGTTTCAGAAGCTGAGGACATGAAAACTGTGGAGCACTGTGAGAGCAGTTTCCTTCTTTTCTTGTGCAGTATTCTATACTACAACATATCAAAATAAATAAATAAAAATATTAATTCCATGGTTTCAAACTTACAAATGTAGATTCAGGGTACATCAAGGGACAAGGTTCCTGCAGCAAACCTGGGAACACTTTCATGTATGTGTGTACGAAGACACAAAAATACATGTATATATATTTATACTTTGGCCTGTTTCTATAAAATGGTCAATTTGGCTAATAAAGAGTGAGCTGTTTATATAATTTACTGTTTACATTTAGAATTTTATTTGTGAGCCTGAGTCAACTTTAGGGTATACACAATTTGAAGTTTAAATAAAACATTATAATAGATGAAACTTTTGTTCTCAAAGGATTAACTCTTCTTTTGCTAACACATTTACATAATCTTAGGAGTTTTTTACTGACAATTGTAGAGAAAAACAGCAATATGTTTGTATCTGTGCTAAACTTCCAGACTGGTATCAATTCAGATGTTTTTTAGAGTTTTATACGAGATATTGAATTTACATTTTATTTTGGAATTTGTGGATTTTAAAAGTCTGTTTGTTCTTTAATTAGTAATATGAGTAATGACTCATTTAAATCTCTGCTGCTATTGTCATGTAGTATGTAGGAATATGCAAAATAAATAAATATCAGATTTTCAGTTCGGATCTCTAAGTTGCAATAAAAAACCCTAATACATATTATGGTAATATGTGAATCATTAGTTACTCTTTAGAAAGAACTATGGCCTTGAAACTTTTCTTCACAGAAACAATCCAAAACAGATCACTGGAATCTTTCTGTAGAAATATTTTCTAGCTATTTACTCATGAGTCTTGCAACTCTTTCTCACTAAGATGATTCAGTGTAGCTGTGAATCTCTGGCTACTGCAGAATTGGTATTTACTACCTTCTTTAGCTATTCTGACCATACCTACTTACACAAACATTTAGCAGAAAAGGCCATGCCCATTTATAATGCTAGAACAGAAGTATTGGTCAATGACTCATAAACTTTTGAACATGCCATGAGCAAACAAAGGAATAGCAGAGAGACACTGAGCTCCATGTGGAATAGAGACTCACACAGAGTTAAAGTAACAAGAGATACAAATATGCTAAAACATTTTAAAACATTCTCTTTCCCACACAAAGTAGTTTGTTTTGTTTTATTAAAAATATTATTTTTGAACATAACTGCCTGCTTTAGGCTAAATTCTATCAGATACATTTGTGTGAATTAATTTCAATTTCATTGAATTATCCCATATCCAGATAAAAAAAAATTAAGTCAGGTTAATCTGTATTCTCAGAAGTTGGAGAACTGAACCCTCAAGTCAAAGGGAGACCTTAGGAGAGTGACATATTAATAAGAAGATTGTCCTGAAATATAGCATGAATATAGATCTGAGAATGTAAGTTCTCTAAACAATATCCATGAGGTCAATAAGGATTTACAAGTGCTCTTTGAAGACTTTCAGCCTGTTCCCCCTGTATTTCTGTGTGTCAGGACATTCAAAGAGGATTAGACAAATTCAAGGACAGCAAGTTTATATATGGACTTTGTAAGAATTAGATAAGCTTTTATCTTGTGACATTCCTAGTGCAACAATTGAAAGGGGCCACAGGTAACACCCCACTGTGGTCAGCTCCCAGTCTGAGATGTACTGTCAGGCTGGGTGGCACCCAGCAGGGAATTCTACATATTTTTGTATTTGAAGGCTATTCAGCCAGATGCAATGTTGTAAGCTCTTCAGGCTTCCCCTTATTTATAAGAATATATAGAATAATCTTTATCTGCAAGTATGGGGATGCTTGGGGTGTTGTGAGTCTGCTTTGACTTTGATGAAAGAAGAGAAGGAAAACAGATGGCAACCTTCTAATGCCTAAGGATAGTTTTCCCAAAGCAGTTCCATGGATTTTGTTCTTTGGGGGGAAAAAAAAAAAGAAAAAAAGAACAAAAATAACAAAAATGCAGAAACAATTTTTCCTTACTGTGCTGCGTTGTCCTTTCTATATTTGGCACTGGGTATATTAGTACTATTATGTGACTGAAATAAATGGCTTTCTCTAAAAATTAGTTCAGTTTCAGTAGTCATTTCCTTTATTTAGTCTTCTACAGTACATTTACTTCTTATTTATTTGATTTCAGCATTCACTGTTCAGGAGCATTATCTCTGTTTCCTTCAATGGAAAAGCTGGCATGGCATTCCATGGAGGTCTGTTAAGCTGTACAAGCACTCCTTATCAGAGGTATTCTTCGGCTGGCTATGTGAAACACTTTGAGATTTGGATGGAATTTATTAACTGTGAGAAATACAGCCTTCTGAAGTGCGAGGATTATATCTGACAGATGGTACAAGCTGGCAGTCCAACGTGCTCCTATGCTCTGGGAATTCTGAAACAACTGCCGGTCACAGAAATTAATTTTCAAATACAAGTGGATGTATCCCATACTTAAGACTGGGTCTTTCTGGTCATATGTCATTTTTTTCCTACCTCAGGTCTCCTGAAATAGAAATACACAGTCAAAAAGTAAAAGTGAGGACTGGATGAAGGATACTCTGAATACAGATGTGTGTAGTTGCAGTAAAGAGGTGATACCCAAACAAAAGCTAGACCTGCTTTATAAAAACATCATCCTGAAGGAAGATGAAAGGATTCCTCCTGTTATATATGAGAAGACTTAACTTTAAAAACCCTCATGATGTGAGGAAAATATCTGAGGCTTTTGATCTGAGATATGATCAGGTCCAAATGACTGTAGCATCTCCCTTCCCAAGCTCCTGTTCACTCATTCTACTACTTCTTTTCATGATCTTATTGAAAATTCCTCCATCAGAACTCACCGGCCTATAATGTGAAGGTTTTTGAACTTAGACAGCTCTGTATGTTGAATACCCAGTATACTAAATTTTGCTGAATCTTTCAATGTAATAGGCTTAACTTTTTCTCCTGCTGGGGTTGAATCACTTACATGAACTACTGAACACTACACCTGCAGTTTTTATGTTGCATCTTATCTCTCCAAAATGCAAATCTCTTTTGCAGCTGATCAATAACCAGGAATTTTTCTCTTGGTGATCTCTAACAATGTTAAGCATCAATACTGGTAATTTCTCAGATGTCACAAATGTGACACCTTTTTCCCTTACCAGGTCTTTTTCTTCCATATAAGTTCCTGTTATAGCAGATATAACAGATATAGCAGATATAGCAGAATTTCAGTTGCAGCATGGATGGAAAAATGCTTGGAAAGAATCTCCCAATTTATTTATTTTGTATCATTATTAGAGTGTACTCTGATGAATTTTTGAAAAGAGGGCTCAGGTAAGAGATAGATTGTTATGAGAAATGTCAGAAGCCTAGCTGGTCGTTGGGGATTTTTTTTCCTTTTCTTTAATGGTTTGGTAAAAGAATGTTAGACCTGTTATAACACAGGTAATCCACAAAGTATTGCTGAGTCTCTCTTGACTGATCACTGTTGTGCCTCTTGTTTCTCCTGCTGTGGGCTTTTTCTCCTGCAGGTTCCTTTTGTAGTTACTCAGTTCCTGCTGCACTTTTGACTGGGGGGCTTCCATTACAGGGTTTTTAGATGACAAGGCTTTGTGACTTAAAAGGGAAGGGGAAATAAACCAGGGGAGGTTAATATATACATTAAAAGGCATTATTCTGATTTCTTAATAATCAGACTTGATAGAATTATCTTACAGAGCTGTTCCAGTGCTGTTCTGCCTTTCTCTGGCCTTCTGCAGGACAGCTGGCTTGGCAGTTCCCCCAGACTCGGTGCACTGCCGGCTGCCTGAGCCGTTCCTTCTGAAGTTACTTTCTGACTGAGCTCAGAGTCTCTTTCTGTCCAGCTGCAGGAGTCACTGCAGGGATCGCAGCTGGGCCTGGGCTGGTTCACGGGATTTGTACCCCATTGGGTAGTGCTGGTAAGACCCTTGTACTTGCTGTTAGAAAGAGTGCAATATACCATCAAACCCTGCACTGCAGTCACACTTGAATGCTTGCTTGGCTGTATCAGCATGAACTAAGCCAATAAGGCAACTCATGCGACAGAAGCGTTGATGTATTCTGAGAGCCGCAAAAGGTCAAAGAACAAAAGAGATTAAATCCCCATTAAAATCACAGCTTTCCACTTCATTTTGCTTTGTGTGCTTGTATGTCCAAACTTGAACTTGAAATGCTAGTTTGCAAGTAGCTCTAATGTGCAAACACAGCTTTTGTCAATTTGTTAGTGTTTGTGTTGCGAAGCAAGAGATCCAAAAGCCAAAGAACAACAGATTAAAGTTTATGCAGTGTCAACACCATACTGGGAAAGAATTCTTACCCTCTATCACAGTCTTATCGGAGTGATAATCTGCATGGCCATGAAGAGCTGACTCCTATTTTTTGTTACATTGTTGGCTTAGTGCTAAGATTTCTTTGACTTTCTGCTGTTAGCTTTACCACCCAGTGTAGATATCCCCAGGCTTTCACAATTGCTTTCTTTCCTGCTAAGAAAACAAAACTTACATGTGTTTCAGTACTTCTTGGCAGCCTGCCTCCCACATATAGTTTAGGGTAAAATTTTCAACCTATTTGCTTTCCTTGATTTGAAGAATAGGTAATGGTATAATTAGCAAAGAAAAATAAGTAATTTTTTCTCTTGGTTTGAGGGTAAGTCCTGCCAAAGGCTATGCAAATACCCATCGTAAGAAGGGACTGCAAATCATCAGAGAAAAGTGTACTTCAGAAGCGTAGATCTGAAAATGTGGTTTGATGCTCATTCAGCTTTGCAAAAACAACTTGTGGAGCTCAATATTATGGCTATTCTATTTTTTAAAAACTGTATAGAAAAATTAAGAGAGATGGAAAATTAAGATGGAAAGTCAAGAGAATTTCCTTGACCAAATTTTTTTTTAAACTGCCACCTTCCCTGTCACTATACCTTGACTAAAGCCTGGAAAAGTCCTGCACTTTGGATGACTTTTTCAGTGGGATCCAGATAAAGGGAGGCCATAATTTCTCACGTAGCTGTCTGTAATCTGCTTTCCTCCGGCCCCTGTCCCTGGGGGCCACACTTACAACCTCTTGGAGCCACAATAGGATTGTGTTGTAACACAGTGTATGGTCAGCTCTGCTAGATTCATTCCTTCTCATGCATATGTTTCAAGTCCATAATTAATCCTTGCATTAGTGAAAGCAAAGGCTGCATTCTTTAAGGCTCAATCTGAACCTCCAGTTCTAGGGAAACTTCTGCAACTGTTTCCTGTTTCTCGCTTGGCAAACAGATGTCACCAAGATAATTTCAAGCGTTCTGGAGTGAAATGAATATGGATTATGCAACTTCCATATTTTTCAGTGGAGCAAAACCACTAGGACCCTCCAGAAAAAAGACCTCTAGCCAAATTTGCAGCTGTTAATTCCCAATGAAAATAGGTGATTTCCTCCAGCCTACATGTAGACATCCAGCTTTAACCATA